AATCCCCATTCGATAAGCCAACTTCATTTGGGCCATCTTCCTCAGCCTGGTGTGCACGAATTCAAATTTATTACAGACCACTTAATTAATTACAACTGGTTTAATATTTCATTGCCATATATTCAGAGTAATAAAATTTGGTAGCAGCACTAAAGAAATCGAAGGAAGACAATAATGCGTCAATACTGAAGTTTTTTATGTCTCCTTGGACGAACATGGTTAGAAGAACTCTGTTGGCATGATGTTTGCGTCTGCTTCTTCAATACGTCATCAGAGCTGAAGGTGACTGCCTGCCAATGAAAGAATGGCTGAAATATTGAAGTGAAGTGGCAAGTTCGACCTACTGGGTTGAGACATCTACAAGCAAACGGCGCATGCAATGGCTCAAAATTTGCTTCTTTCCACGTTTTGAAAGTATTCGGTCGTTTGGAAAGTTAGCTGCGACTGCAATCAGAATGATCTACTTACTAGGCTTGTCATATTCTCCTCAGGGCATATTGTGGATCATATAGTAAAGTTGGTATTTCTAAACTAATTACTCCAAAATCAGTTAATTACTCAATTATTTGCACAACAAACAACTCAATGTGTTCAGATTTCTATAATAGCAGAAGAATACATAATTCCTTCGATCGTTAAAACAGGATCAACTTATTTGATTGGATATCTTTTGATCTATCATGGTCTTTTTAAGTACATATCTCACATTTACACGGTCTTCATCTAAGTACAATTGTATTCCAATTGACACTAGATTAATTTAATCACTCCACACAACTTATCCGCGTCAATTATTCTTGTGATCCTATTCTAAGTCACTGCATTTCACAGAGATTCTCAGGTAATTCTTGCGTGTCTGAACGAAACCTTTTGATGTGAGATATGCTAATGACCATTCAGTGGTCTTGCAAACACCCGGGTGGGGGTGAAATTTGAATAGGTAGATAGCAGAATAATGGAAAAGTGAAGTGCACTAAAGACGTTTCGATGAATATCATCATGTACTTGAATATGAATTGGACGTTGGTGTATAAATGATGTGGAGTATTAAGAAAGCAGAGATTCGGACATCCACAACTAACTTTTGAGTTCCTGTTTTCCTCTTTTACTCAACCGTTCGAATCAATATAAACCAAAGATCTCGTTCACCAATAACTATGCCAACCTTGTTGTCGCAGATTGCTTGCTTTTGCTTTCGTCATACATAGTTTCCAATTTCTGCCTTTAGCAAATGCATAATTATTTTCGTTCAATGTCAACTGTTATAAATGTTTATTTTAAAATACTTTTCAAAATATCATGTCATATACGATCGATTTTAAGATTACAAAATATAGTTGCTAAAATCTGAATTCTCACAATTTTTTGGTTTCTAATGGTAAATATAGATAAGCAGGTGTAAAATTATCGGTTTCAATAAACTAACAAAATACGTCATGTGTTAGTTATAAGAAAAACTCCTGATGTTTGCGTAGTAACAGCATAATCCAATATTAAAATTTTTACTGCATGTTACCATTTAAGTGCTGTAGAACCCACGTAATTATTTCCAATTTAACGCTTAGTAGACCTCTATTCCCAGAGATCTCTCTCTTTCATAGCAAGTTCAGAATGATCACTTATGAGAGGCAATCTTCAGATATTCTACTAATTTAAGCCCTCTTTACAACTTCTCTGTTATTCTGTTGTTGGGACTGAGAACGTACAGTGATATCCATTCATAATCATACCTTTACCTACCTGTTGTGGTGTGCACATTTTTTTCTAATCGTATAATTGAGTTAATTATGTTCTCAGTTCGATTCATCCTATTAACTGCTACCTGGTTATTGATTCATCTCGGCATATTGAGTTTATTGATCATAATAACCCCTACCCCCCTCGTTTTCTTAAAGTATGTCTTTAATGGGGAGTATTTACCATTCTCTCGTCTTACTAGCAGTAAAATTAAAAGAGGAATGAAAAGATTAATGCTCAAAATGGATATTTATTCACCTGTAACAACTTCGAAGAAACCCTCCACCCTCCCCTCATCAAAATGCTTTCTCATAGCCAAGGATGATTGATTTTGAATGACATTTTAGGTAAATTACAATTTAGAATTTATGTAGAAAAAATCTGATTAAGTTATTACGCATTCAAATTTTGTCCGTACATTAAAGTAACTTAAATCTTCTTCCTCGTCATATGGTAGACGCATATCAATGAGGAGACGAATATCGTGCCAAATGCAGCCTTTACAGTTAGTCGAATGGAAATAGAATTAGTCAATGATGTTTTTTGTCAACTTCAATTTGTAGGGGCAGAGCTAATTTATAACCTCCTATGCAAGCACTCATATATTTGCGAAGTAAAAAATAACCTAAGCTAAAAGTATGACTCAATGGATGAGGTATTTTGGTCAAATTAGACACAATTCAACCTTACATTTTAACATTAAGAACGGAACTTACATCAAGTACTTTTAAAATGCTGTCTACAACCTGTTGGTGTGGCAATTTGAACTAAGACTTTTGCATAAGGTACAAAATCACGCTATTTAAGTGCGGTGAAGTTCAAACTTAATTTGATATTCGATGGCAAACCTTAAATAACTCTTCTTTAAGAATATTATGATGTGAAACAAACTGACATCGAGTACAATAGTGGTTCAATATAAGTCAATCAAAAATGCAAACCGATTTCTATTTACAATTTTGTTGCATCGCTTTTCACACTTTTTTGGATTCCATTTGCTAAAAATAATATCCCGATTTAGAAGTAATTCTTTCGCAATATTTACAACATCTGCATGAAATGGAATTACCTTTAAACAAATGATCCTACATATTTTGAGTTTCCGCTGTTGCTTTCAGACAATTTTTAGCATTCATTACAAGAGCTATTTGGAACACCTTACAAAGTTTGGAAAAGCAGAGGAGGAATGAAGTGTTGTTTAACTTCTGCTTAACCAATAATCTTACAAGAATTATGGTTTAGATAATAGAATTCCTTTATAGTTATTTAAAAATCATTACCGCAATAAGACTGTAAGCTTAAATGCCGAATTTTGGTGGCTGTTGCACATTTATTGATCTTTAAATGATTAACTGATATCCAATTCTATCGGTGATTGATACTCTCTTTTTCATAAACATTTAAAGGATTACTATTCATTCCTTTGTATAACTACTTACTCATTTGATGAATAAATTAATAAATGGAAATATCTTACGGCATTCAGATACATACATCCCATATTTGTTCCTCTATACAGAAATGAAAAAAACTACAAATTTCTTTAATTTCATTCTGAAATTATAACGTTCTATTTTATTTGTTGCTAACACAAATTTAATTTACAACATTTAATTATATCAAGAGTTATTTGAGATTTAAAACAAAACAAAAATTATGCAATATATAATATTTATTTAAAATTTATTTTAATTTAAAACTGAGGAGGCAAATAGTGAGTAAACATTTATAAATCAGAGCACATCATACTGAAGAAGATGGCCCAAATGAAGTTGGCTTATCGAATGGGGATTTTTGACCATAACTCGAATGTGGGAATCAGAATATACCTCAGTTATCTCCTTCCTCTTCAAACAAACATCATGGCAAAACGATGGTGTGCAGTTCCTCATTATCTTATAGTGTGAATTCCGGTTTCAATCTGGTACGAGCTGAGAGTGTGGGAAATGAGCCATGAGTCGAATGAATTTCTGTAGTTGTTTGGCTTCTGAAAGTAGAGTTTCGAATCGAGATCGTTTACGAAGCACGCAGCATGAATTGGTGCAACGGCCACTTAAGAGGAATATTCAATCAGGAGACTATGTTTGGAATGTCACTACTTGATCTCGTTGGCAAGCGTCACTTGCAGCAGCCTGTGCCAAGGATGAAACACTGGCAACTGCGTTTGTGGCAACGTTTGTAGTTAGGGTAAACAGAGAGGCTTTTACACGCAGATTGCCTATGCAAATGGAACAATCGTGGATTGTAAATAGATCTCTCTCCTCCAAGTCAGGAATGTAGTACGAGAATTGGCAACGAATCCTCTGGGTTACAGCATCCATGCATTGAAATGGTCAGAAGAAGAAGCTGTGAAGCTCGATGTTATTACTTTACTGACCACTTGAGACAATTCAGGTCTATGGTTATAGTAGAAGGCAAAAGAATGTTGTGAAGCCGAAGTGGGTTGGAGGTGTATAGAAGCATGAGTGGGTGGGATCTGGATGAATCGTGAGTAACTCGATGTTCCGGAAGTGGAGAACCAAGACTCGATCACAGACCAATCAATTGGTGATTTTGTTTATTAGGAGTTAGAAGAAGAAGAAGAAGAAGAAGACAAAGTGGAGTGGAATTTGTAGATGGGGGGAGTGGGGTGGGGTGGGTTGGAGGGGAAATGCGTGAGGAGACTGGAGGTAAATAGTCTCTGAGTGTGAACGTCAATGCGATTGCTCGTGTGTAAGAATATGGAAAAGCAACAGAGGTTGTTTTGATTCACTTTGACAGTAGAATTCTTCAGGCAAGTTCGCGAGGCACAGTGGAAGGGTGCAAGTGTACTTGAACTGGATCGGGTTGATTCGGAAAAACACAGAGACGTCACAAACACGAGTTGACATGACAATTGGGGGTGTAAATAAGAAGGAGTACATTAAAAGTCAATTTGTCAAGGTGAATAAATAACCAAGAATGACGTATTGGTTGCAATCGCCAATATAAACAAAACACAGTTGTGTGGACACACGTCTAATTATGTACTTGAATTCGGAGACTCTCCACATTCCTCGATCTGGACAAAAAACACAAATGGCTAGAGAAGGTTGAGTCTTGTTTGACTTGTTAAAATCTCCATTTGATTTGGTAAGTGTGAATGGTGTCTATATTAGTTAATGAAAGAGTTAATGGACAGAGATGGGGTGACGGGGTAGTGGAATAGACAAATCCACTGCACATTTAATAATAGTACTAATAATTAATATTAAAACACTGAGAATAATAATGGTTAAAGTGGAAAACTAATGCTGACGCAGAGGTGCAGCTGTTGTGGCTTGCTTGGGAGAAGCTGCCTTCGATGACGAAGGTGGGCAAGACATAGGTGAATGTGGAAGATTTGCACACTCCCAATAAATTGAAATGAAACACTAGCACATAAGAAGGTGGAATGCGACGAATTGGAATGCATAGGTGATGGGGGCTGATCCCAGTAAGAATTGGTTGTAGAATGATCTGGGTCATACGGTTGTTTGCATGAGCATGTAAATAGGAGGAATAGCCATTTATCATGTTGCATATTGTTATTAATTGAATTGTTTGATTGATTGAATGATTGATTGATTGATAGTGAAATTTCTGATGTCAGCTAAAATGTTGAGAGGAATGAATTGAAAAGCAGTGGAGCAAAGTCAATGGATCGTAGCTAAATCCATGGTGTTTGGAATGTGAACACTTTAACTTATATTGCTGGATGTATAAGTAATTTGAGACATTTAATTAATGTCAGAAAACGTTTTGAAATTGATGAAGTGAGCAAAGTACCAGAGTGGGGGAAGGGGTTGTTTGGTGTGGGCTGAGGAACTAGGACCAACAACAAGCATTTTCGACTTAGAAGTTATCCACCTCTGACTGTCATTTGGGAACGGATTTCTCTTGAATTCGCATACTCTCCAGAGTTAAGTTAAAGCCGACAGTCTTGATAAATTGTGCATTTCTGCGTTCGTGTTGAATGAGTTGACTTTACTCCTTCACATCATGAAGACAGTGTATGTCTTCCAGGATGGTGCTCACATAACCCTCGTTTTCGTGCTTCCCTTTGATCTTTTGGTTGAATACTCTGAAGATTCGAAGCTTTCGCATTCATCTCTTTTAAATTCCTGTTCCTTGTTAGCCAGTGTTAATGACTTGTGTGAATAACGCCTATTTCAACGACACTCATGATGTCACCATAGTTCTGTGTCATTTTCCATGGTACTTCTTTTGGTGAGTAGTTTCATGTTTCGCGACATTATTCGTTCTCATTTGATTCTGAAAACATCCCAAACAATTTATTCTTACACCTCCTTTGTGGTGCACCAACTTCAAGTCCTTCAATGGTAGAATTCTATCAGCTTCTCTGTGACCCTCTCCTCCACTTTGACATGTTGCTGATTTTGTCATGGTTGTTTGGATATTAGGGAAGGAATGGGCAAGAATTGATTATAATTTCAGCAGGCCTGAAACTAGTAGCCTATTTTCGTTGTCTCTAGAAGTGCGTGAAACGTCCTGTTACATTTGAGTAGTTAATCTGCACATCAGTGTGGGGGGCAGAAGGATTTTTGGCCTATGAGAAGAGCACTTTATGCTGAAATATTTTTGTTTTACAACATCTGGGGCGACTGGTTGAAAAAATTGTGGAAAATGGGAAATTTCGTGAAGGTGATAACACAGTGGAAGCAATTTCTTTATCATTGAAAATATCCCTAAATTAGAAGTCTTGTCCAAATAACTTCCATTCATACAGGAGATCTCTCGGAATCAGCTTTGGTACCTAGTAGACATTGCGTTCTAAATCTCTAACAATCTAACTTTACGTATTATCGTGAGATCTTCAAGTTAATTAAACTTTCTGTCGAACTACTATAATGAATGAAAAGTTTTGCTGCCAGGCCTCAATTAAGACTCTTTAGTGCAAACAAAATGTTCGATTTAATCATCCTTTGTAATTCACATCTCAAATTCGATGCACATTGTGCTACTTGGCTCGAATAGATGGGTTTATGAGAATCGCTGTGCTGAGAAATTGGCATTTGTGAGTTAACGAAATTGTACAAAATAGGCGAAATACCCCCAATTCGTTGAGAATGAGTGTGTAATTGTCAATTCGATGGAGACAAATTGTAGATTTTACAAACCGAACTCTGCTGCAACTCTCTTCGCAGATCCACATGGATGGAGAAGAGTGCTTTTCTGGACTATTTGGTGGGTTTGGTGCAAAATCGGAGTGAGAGATGGGAATGTGCCACGTGAGCGTGAGCACGCAAACAGTAATGGAAAAGAGGAGTCGAACATGGTGAGTGTCGTCGCGAGCAGGATTTGAACCTGCGCGGGGAGACCCCAATGGATTTCTAGTCCATCGCCTTAACCACTCGGCCATCGCGACACACTCCACGCTCCACGCCACCCCCTCCCCCTCCCCCTCCCCCTCATGTATCACTGACTCTCCCACATGGGCAGTGTGAGGCCATACTTCCACCTCACTCGAGTCAGCATGTTTTGCCAAATTCGCTGGTTTCCATATCCACTCTACAGTCGGACCTCTGGTTAAAGCGACTATAATATTACTTCAAATATACGAGTACTGTTCACTTTGTTGCCTGCCAGAAATAATTCAGTTCTACTCTATTCTACACTTTTTCCTTTCTTCTTTCGACGTACCATAAGTTTAGCACACAAATTCGCTTCACTTAATTCATTCAAAAATATATCTTATTGTGGAGAGGTTCATAGGGTGATAGTGAGTTCGCATATTTTCTGTGAGCCAGACCTGCGATTACTGACCTGCAACTTTTAGACAAAAGGTGTGACTATTTTAAAATAGAAGTGTCACAAGTTGAAAACATCGTGCTTTTTTCAAGGTTACAAAGATGATTTTGCTGTTCAAAGCCATTAACTTATTAAATAAAATCAAACAGTTCTGAGAATTTCATTAAATCTTAAATGTTCAATTTAGAGCTATTCCAGAAGCGAGAAGAGGGTGGAATTTATCATCCCGATGTAAATATAAATATTTATTTATTTATTTCAAATGACTGGCGTGTTGACAGTATCATTAGCCCTTTAGCTGACTTCGGTGCTTCACAGAGAGTAGGAGGAACGTCAAGGTGACAAAAAATCGAGGGGTGGATAGAATAATGATTGACAGAAGTAAAAGAGACAGACAGATAGAAAGGCATAGAACAGGTAAGATGAGTACTGCAGAAGGGGTCGAATATGACAGTCGGGTCATAGTAGGTTGAAGTCAGAAGCCAACTTCCGATTAATAGACTTTTTGCCGTATGCGTATACGTTGCCCAGGGTGCACCACGTGGAGGTAAGTCTATTGCGCACCCCAAATATAAATATTTGTTTTGCAAGTTTCAGTTTAAAGTTAGTATGTGTGAGAGAGAGAGAGAGAGAGAGTAGGAATGAAGACATCTGATAAGATGATGCGGAACCACTGCTTTAAAACGGGAAAGTTTTACTTGCTCAACTGTAAAGCACTCTCGCAGTTTGAAGATTATAAATATAAGCAATAAAACTTTAACTCTTCTTAAAATTTGATTAGCTCATACTCACAAAAGACTCACTAGTTGCTTTACAAGACCCTAGTATTTAAATATTTGAAGAGAGTGATAGAGATAGCCGATTCATGGGTGAAATAATGTCCACTAGGCCGCTTTATTACTTTAAGTGGAACATCTTTAAATCAACGGTGATCGAGTTACCACGTTTTCGTCATTTTAGTCGGTCATATATCTTGGGTTTCTTTAATGCCTATATGGCGGCTAACCTGGATCGGCACAGTAAATCAATTGAATGGATATCAGTCTCAGCCTTATATCAAAGGAGGTTTTACTGAACTGTGTTTTCACTCATTACTCTAATGAGCATAGACAATTGATATCTGCTAATCAACTTCATCGAATGGTAATGATTTTGACTCCATTTTCCATGATTTACTCTTTAGCATCCTCCTATCTTTTTCGATAGTACTTCAACTTTAATAATATACAACACACTTTGAAACAAGCTACTCTGAATCCTATATGTTGCAATGTCTTTAAAAACATTAGAGATAACACCCAAGTCTTGATGATAATAAGACTATATGTGCTGGTATATAAACAAGAGGGGGCCTTAAAACATCATCAGAGAGACTATAGCAATTATTTTATTTCAAGGTGACTTTGTGCCTATCTTATCAAGCATGCAATAGTGAACATAATAAAACTGTTTTTTTTAAATAATCATATGATATCTTTCGTATATTGGCCTGTTGGGTTACGTGAAATGTCGTGTCATGTCATGCCATTTTATGGTGTGATGGGTTGTGGAGCGATTCATAGTGGTATGAGTTTAGTGGGAGTAACCCGTGTCTGACTTTCCAAGACAATGATTTCTAAAGCATAAATTTATAATAATTATTGGGTTGTGAGGAGTAAAATAGACCTACTCCCAAAGCGCATTCCCTCTGGTACTCTATAAACTTGATATAACTAATAGAATTCGAAGGAATGAAACCGTTCACGTAAATCACATTCGTGATTTCATCAACTCGAAATAAAAAAATTAGGGCCCGTTCAAACATATAAGTTCTCAAATTTCTTAGCTCTTAGAATACAATTTGAAGTTGCTTTTGTGGTTATGATGTAGTGCTCTTTATATAACTCCTTTAATACATCCAAGTAAAATAAGATATACATATATTTATTTTTATTTCATAGTTTAATAGTTAACATTAGCCCTTTAGTTAACTTCGGGCTTCATAGGTGGGAGGAATAACCAATTGATTAAAATTCGAGAAGGGGAACAGAAGAGTGATTCACAGACGTAAGAGAAACAGACAGACACAAAGGTAGAGAAAAGGTGAGGTGAGTACTGTGAAAGTGGTTGAATATGACATACAGTCGGGTGATGGTAGTTTGAAGTCAGAAATCAACCCCCAGTTAATAGACTTTTTGCAGTATGGGTATGCGTTACCCAGGTTGCTCCACGTGGAGGTAAGTCTACAGCACACCCCAGATATAGCGGTATTATCAAGGAGAGTAAATAATGAAAATAATTTTAAACATTTATTATTCTATCTTAACCCCCTTCCTACCCCCCTTTTCATTGAATATCGATTTCGCTTTATATGATTTGTATTATTACTAATTTCTGCCTTCAGGATTCCCTCAGTTAAGTGGTAAAATAATGAGGAAAGATATCTCCAGCTTGAGCTAACTTTTTTATGGGAAATCAGACTATGAATAAAAACGACAAGAGAAACGCAATTTAATTTATGGGAATTTAAAGTGTTTCCAGTGTATTACCAAAATACAAGATATTTTGATAAATTAATTTTAATAGAAAATAGTTTGAGTGGGCTTGAATTTACGGCGTCAGTTTTGCCTAGAGTATATGTTATAAATTTTAGAGTAGTATCTAGAGTAGTATTAAGACAAAGATTTGGCAAGTACACGACTTATGTGAGTAATGACGCAAAAGAGTCGGGCAGAGGAGGGTTAGTTGGCCAATGAAGTTAGAGGTGATAGCCACAGGGGTACATAGGAGATAGGAGATGAGGTTGGGGTTAGGTAGAAGCAGTGGTGGACGATGGAGGGTAAGGAGAAGAACTCGGGTGGGTATTTATAGAGTTAGAATGGGAAAAATACAGTTGGAATGGGTATAACATGGTGTGCTATTTTTATGAGCATTTTGTTTTAAACGGTCTGCGATTAGAATATTTGGAAGGGAAGTGAGTTGTGTCTTGTGTCCACTTAAGTCAACCTAGTAGCTTGTAGGCGTGATGTTAAGATCCTGCCTATTTAAGTGCGCTGTCAAAATATAAACATTAAATTAAAAAGTCTGAAGATCTTTATACATAGATCTTCAGACTTTTAAATATTATAGAATTTAGCATTTTATTGACACGATAATTTATTCGCGAGCCACTTATTCGATCAATCATATGGTGACAGATTATCATAATACCTTTTTTTAGAAAACTCAGATCCACTTGAACTAAAAGAAGTTCTGGGTAATTGCTTGCAAATAGCCTTATTTAAGTTGACTCGTAAATAACACCATGTGATACATATGCACAAATGCTCGATTTTCAAAACAGGCAAATAGTATTTTTTTCCAATTTATCAATCATTATCTTTACCATTTACGCCAGTCAGTAGTGCTAGTGCAAACGAGTAATCTTTTCACACCCACGTCGAGCAGCAAGAACAATATTTACTAGTATAATCGTTGAGCCGGTGTCGTATAGTGGTTAACAAGTTCATTCGATAGCCCGGAGTTGAGGCGACTAAAGCACTTTCAGTAATGCCTATGATTTTCCACACTAGCCATTTTCGCATACTTCGCGAATACTTCTCCTTAAGGAATTGAGAGGATAATTTAGCCCTACGATCTGAGCTAATTGAGATTTGCTGACCTTAATGATAAGGTTGATAGTTAATAAGCTTTGAGACTACTCTTATATCCTTGCCTTCGGGGTGTGCGACAGACTTACCTCCACGTGATGCACCCTGGGCAAAGTATACTCATACGACATAAAAGTCTACTAACCGGCAGTTGACTTCTGGCTTCTAACTATCATCACCCCACTGTGTGTCATATTCCACAACTTCCACAGTACTCATCTCACCTTTTCTCCGCCTCTGTGTCTGTCTATCTCTTCTACATCTGTGAACCTCTCTTCTGTTCCCCCTCTCGAATTTTTCTCACTTTGTTGTTCCTCCCTTTGCGAATCCCGAAGTCGGCTAAATGGCTAATGATAACTATTCATAACGTCTGCCATTTGAAATAATAATAATAATACCCTTGCGTTAAATGTTTGTATGGTTTAAGGGAAAATCTGCATTAATAATCTTCAATTATGCTTTGAAAAACATTTTCCGCCATTCAGTTTGGTTGAGTGGAGTGGGTTGCACTAGGGAACTTCCCTGATGAACTACCCAGATGCTGCTGTCTTTACTTAACTAGTACCAAGTGACTATTCTACCCAGTAGGTGTTTGCATCAAATAATACCAAATTGGTGAATTCTGATCTCTGACAAGAACACATTAACTTGTGGGATACGTCATCGCATGCCTGATCCCCCATCCTGATCATGATTAAGCTTCCTGCGTGTACACTTTATCCGTAACACTCGTACTGAATAAACGTGCTCCGTGCTACACGTCTGTTTCCTTTCATATCTGGGCTATAGCTTAGCTGGTTCTGGGAGTCTAGCTAGATGTTGGAGAATTTGCCACAGAGATTTCTGAGTCAGTCAGGCTTTACTAGCGTAGCAATCCGCTACAAACTACCTCGCCACTGGTTTGAATAATGAATATATAATTGTGGGTGAGACCTGCGATCATATCGATCCCATACTTAAGGCGGTTTAATGAGCACATGTA